TAGGACACCTAAGGGTGCGGTGTATAGGATGTCCCCAAGGGAGTTAGAGGAGTTGCGCAAGCAGTTGGAGGAGCTTCTCGAAAAGGGTTGGATTAGACCCAGTTCATCTCCATTTGGAGCACCTGTTCTTTTTGTCCCCAAGGAGGAGGGAGAGCTCAGGATGTGTATAGACTATAGGGGTGAAGAATGCAGAACCATTGCCCCGTATAGACGACCTGTTGGATCGGGTGCAGGGCTGCAAGTACTTCTCGAAGATAGATTTGAAGTCCGACTATCATCACATCAAGGTTCATCCTGATGATCAGTAGAAGACAACATTCCGGACTATATATGGGCACTATGAGTTTATAGTTATGCCCCTTGGACTAACTAATGCGCCAACAACTTTTCAGCGTTGTACGAACGATTTGTTTAGGTCATGGTTAGATAGATTTGTTGTAGTGTATTTAGATGATATTCTAGTGTTTAGCAAGACCCTCCAGGAGCATGAGGGTCATCTGAGGCAGACCTTGGAGAAGCTTTTTAAGAAGCTAACTTCAAGATCAATGCGAAGAATTGCGAATGGGCCAAGACACAGGTTATGTACTTAGGCCACGTCTTAGACAGAGACGACGTTAGACCTGAAGACAACAAAATCGCAGCGATTAGAGATTGGCTAAAGCCTCACACACTGACAGAGTTGCGGTCGTTCTTAGGCCTAGCTAATTATTATAGGAAGTTCGTCAGGAACTTCTCCACCATCGCTGCATCCCTTCGCAGGTTGCTAAAGACAGAAGCAATCTGGAAGTGGGACAAGGACTGTACAAATGCCCTGAAAAGATTAAAGCGGGCTCTGATAGAATATCCAGTCCTTAAGGTAGCCGATCCGTCCCTGCCTTTCGTTGTTACCACTGGCGCAAGTCAGTATGGCATAGGTGTTGTTTTACAGCAAGACGATGGATGCCTTCAGAGAAGGTGGCGACATCCACCTATGAGAGGGAACTCTACGCTCTCAGGCAAGCACTAGAGCACTTGAAGCACTACTTGCCTGGGAGGCGACTCTACGGTGGTTGAAGACACAGACCAAGATGACACCTAAGCTTATTAGGTGGGCCGCAGAGTTAGATCAGTATGACTTTGGGAAGTACAATGTAGTAGCGGACGCTCTGAGTAGGAGAGCTGATTACTTTGGGGCAATAGTTCACTATCTGGATATAGGGAGAGACCTGCAGCAGAAAGTTGGAGAGGCATATGCACAAGACCCTATCTATAGTGACCTCCTCAAGAGAGTTAGGGAGGCCCCAGAGTCTGAACCAGACTACGGCACTACTGATGGCTTATTATTCAAGAAGACTAATGTAGTTGACCGCCTGTGCGTTCCCAACAGTGAAGAGATCCGTAGTTTGATCTTAGGGGAATGCCACGACACAGAGGGACATTTTGGTTGGCAAAAGACACTAGCTAACCTCATGCGTGCGTATATGTGGCCCGGTATGAAGGCCGACTGCATAGAGTATGTACGCAGTTGTAAAGTTTGTCAGAGAAACAAGACTACTACGCGAGCCCCTCTTGGTCTTCTTAGACCCTTGCCTATTCCTGATAGACCAGGAGATTCTGTGTCGATTGATTTTATGGATACTCAGGTCAAGAGTAGGCATGGCAAAAGTCAAGTCATGGTACACGAGCCCCTCTTGGTCTTCTCAGACCATTGCCTATTCCTGATAGACCCAGAGATTCCGTGTCGATTGATTTTATGGATACTCAGGTCAAGACTAGGCATGGCAAAAGTCAAGTCATGGTTACAGTAGACAGATTTAGCAAGTATGCAGTTTCCATCCCCTTGCCTTCTGAGGCACGCACCGATTTAGTAGTTCATAAGTTTTTTGACCACTGGGTCAGTGAGCATGGTATACCACTGTCGATAGTTAGTGACAGAGATCCAGGTTCACCAATCAGAACTGGCAGGAACTAATGAAAGTCTATGGTTCCAAGTTGTTGATGTCATCTGGCCGTCATCCAGAGACTAACGGTCAGACTGAACAGATGAACAAGCTCCTGCAGCAAGTTCTTAGGATGTACATTAGGCCCGATCAGATCAACTGGGATGAGATGCTCCCAAAGGTGGCCAGTGCATACAATAACAGAGTGCACTTATCTACATGTCGCACTCCCAACAAATTGCATAAGTCCTTTAGACCGCGCAGACCATTTGAAGGACTTGATCGGGATCAGGTTCAGAGACTACCGCCCGGTACATGAGAGTTTGAGATACAGCACGAGAAAGAGATAGCCACCATTGTAGATAACCTCAGGAAAGCCCAGCACAGAATGATAGAGCAAGCTAATAAGCATCGTCGCCCCTCCCAGTTCCAACTAGGCGACTTAGTGTGGGTCAAGTCAAAAGAGTTTGCTCCTGAGGAGCACATCTCACAAAAGTTGTTGCCTACGTATCGAGGACCGTGGCCAGTCTTAGAAGTCAAGGGCGGAGAGGATGGACCGTCCTATACTATTGAGATTCCAGCACACCTCCACATCTACACAGTATTCCATGCGTCAAAGCTGTTGCCTTGCGTCACAAGCCAACAGTTTCCATCACGCAGATCTATGATTCCTCCATGTATTGATGGAAGATATGACATTGATGGTATGGTAGTTGAGGACGTCTTCAGGACAGGAGGTAGAGGTCGTCCACAAAAGCAGTACGAAGTCAGATTTTCCTTTCAAGAGCCAGAAGACAACCGCTGGTTCACGCCGACAGAACTTCTAGAGACGGCTCCCAACATAGACCGAGCTTATGAAAGAGACAAGAAGGGTAAAGGTCCTGCCTTAGACTGAAGTATTCTCGGAGGACCTTGAATTTAGGCCGGCGGGAGTGAAACGGTTTTCACCTTTCTGCAATCACTGATGCGGGCCCTAGAGTTCGATCCCCAGACCTTGTCTTACCCATGTACAGTATCGAGTTGACCCCCAAGTATTTGAACCCACGACCTGTGTTGTGGTAGTTGGTTGTTGTCTGTTGTAGGTCTGTGTAGTTGTAGGGGTTCGATCTGTAGGTCAGTCGAGTAGGGGTCACAGCTCTGTAGAGCTCGTAGCTGTAGATTGTCCTGAAAGGTCAAGGTCGTAGCTGCTACAGTCCTGAAGGGTCAAGGTCGTAGCTGCTACAGTAATCGAAAGGCCAAGTCCGCAGACTTCCGGAAGGTCTGGAAGTGGCCTTTTGAAAGTGTCTCACGTTTAGTCTGAGGCAAGTGGGCAAGTGGTGAGCCCAATGGCACTGAGTCGGCAGTGCGGCTGCATTGAGTTGGCAGTGCAACCCCGTGCAGTCAGCGGTACCAGTCCCAGTCAGTCGCAGTCCAGTTAAGCAAGTACCGTGTGGGACTGTGTGCACCAAGGGCCTGGTGGAAAGGGGCAGACCAATGAGTTACAGAAGTATAAATCAAGAGGCAGCGTCCAGCATTCATTCATTNAGGGCCTGGTGGAAAGGGGCAGACCAATGAGTTACAGAAGTATAAATCAAGAGGCAGCGTCCAGCATTCATTCATTCGCTGCGTAAGCCATGCGGAAGCGCTGCTGCAGTGTCTTGTGCAAAGGTGGTCTGCAGGTTGCCCGAAGTCGAAGTGGGCTGTAGAGAGAGATCGCAAGCATAGTCAGTAGAGGTAGAGCGGCCATAGCCGCTGTAGGAGGAAGTTAGACTTAGTGTGTGTGTGTGGTGGTATTCAGGGGTGAGTGTGTGTGAACAGTGGGGTTGGACACAGTGACGAAGCTTGGGATGTTCAGGCGCCGGTGCGCCATAGCCTGTTGAAGTGAACTTGCATCTGAACTGTGTTCTTGATTTCCATATCTCTAAGCTTTGAGTGGGCGCCCTGCGCCAGTGTGAATCTCCATCTGTTTGCATGTATGCGAAGTGGAAGTGAAAGCGAGTCTGATTGCAGGAACGGCAATGCCTCTATAATTGCGGTCGACGTGCCTCCGTGTTCCTAGCATGTAGCCTGCATCTGTCTGCGCTGCATCATTCAATGCCACAACTCTGACTACGAAAATTGGATGTGGTGCTTCCACAGTCCACACCCGAACCAGTCCTCTCCGGTCTGAAGGGGTGGCCACTTACCATTGGCAATAGCAGTGAGGAGAAAGGAGGTAAAATACAACTTAAGACAGAAGACTCCTGCAGCAAGAACCCACCGACCCCCCCTGCTAAGGGTCCAAAAAAACTGGGAAAGCCTTCCACGCCAGCCCACAAAACATACATTCCCCTCAAAGAGAAATCGTGGCAACCCGTAATCATCCAAACAGCCTGTGCTCTAAAGCAGGTCAAAGAATTAGGCCGCGTATAATCAACAAACCAACAAGACACGCGCGCCGTGTGTGTGTGTGTGTGTGTGTGTGTGTGTGTGTGTGTGTGTGTGTGTGTGTTGTGTGTGTGTGTGTGTGTGTGTGTGTGTGTGTGTGTGTGTGTTGTGTGTAGTTTGAGACGAATGCTGTGTGTTGTGTGTAGTTTGAGACGAATGCCGAGAATGCCAATGCTGTTATATTTGTTTGTTTTTGGTAAACGAGTTCTTGGTTTTGTGGACCAACGCGGAAGGCTCTCGAAGTTTTTTCGAACCTTTGAGGGCGTTGGATCGGTGCCTTCTTGCTGGAGTAGTCTTCTGTCTTAGGTAAGTTGCCTTCTGCCCTCCATCCCCTTATGGTTTGAAATGTATATGTATACATATGTATCTTTGCAAGTGTGCCGCTTTGGCGGCAGACGGGTGTGTGCTTGTGATGATATGTGAAGGGAAGGAGAGAGAGAATCTGGGGTCTTTTAAAACAACACACACACACACACACACACACACACACACACACACACACACACACACACACACACACACACACACACACACACACACGCACATGCGTAGGTTTGATGCTGTGGTTTGTGGTTATAAATGCTGTTTTATGATGGACATCTGAGGTTCCTTGTCGCTTGTGGTTGATCCGCTCGTCACTGATCAATGATTTATGGCTGTTGTGTGTTTCCACAGTATGAAGATGACGAAGGTGATATGGTGCTGCTGAACAATGACAGCGACCTGATTGCGGCTGTCAACCTTGCCCGTGCATCAGGGTGGAAGGTCGGTGGTTTTCGACGTGCCAAAATTATTCTCTTGCATCTTTCCATGAAGCTGGTTGGGGGGCTATGTGTATGGTGACTATGGTCCAATGTCATCCACGTCCTGTAGGGCAGCCTTTTCCTTATGGTCCTGTCCATTTCATGGTGCAGATTCAACGTTGAGACAACACCATTCACTGCAGCTCAAGAACAATCTAAGGAAGTGGAATTACACCAGAAGAGAAGACGGATGAAGTAACCAAGAAGAACAGAAGCCTGAACCAATGTCTGTCCCCCACCTCCTCTTGCCACCATCATTCCCCTCGCATAATCATCTCCTCTATATTAACAATGTAATAGAATCCCAGAGCGTAGTCGACTGTTTAGAAACTCCGCTCATGAGCTTGTACCATTTTCCGGAAAAGTATGGCAATTTGCTAACTCTGCATCATTTCACACTACTGCTTTGAACGGAATTTCCAAATCATCACACGTTCTCTTATTTGGTTGGTATGTCCTTCGTTGAGGAAGTAATCAATTCCGTCCTTTGGGCCTCCACACCGTAAGGGGGAGGAGCGGGTGTGAGTACTTATTGTATTCTGTTTGACTTGCCGGGGGAATAGGAACCGGACTGATGCTCCCCAGAATGGAAAAGGAGCCAGAACAATAAGGTCCTGTTTTAAAAAAGAAATGTGAAAAAAAAAAAAAAAAAAAAAAAAGGAATTTAAAA